AGGATGGTGGAAGGAAGAGAAGGAGAGAGGGAGGAAGAGTAGGAGTAGGAGAAAGGTAAGGGAAGAAGGAAGGGGAAGGAGAGGAGGGAAGGAAGAAAGAGGTAAGGAGAGGATGGTGGAAGGAAGAGAAGGAGAGAGGGAGGAAGAGTAGGAGTAGGGGAAGGTAAGGGAAGAAGGAAGGGGAAGGAGAGGAGGGAAGGAAGAAAGAGGTAAGGAGAGGATGGTGGAAGGAAGAGAAGGAGAGAGGGAGGAAGAGTAGGAGTAGGAGAAAGGTAAGGGAAGAAGGAAGGGGAAGGAGAGGAGGGAAGGAAGAAAGAGGTAAGGAGAGGATGGTGGAAGGAAGAGAAGGAGAGAGGGAGGAAGAGTAGGAGTAGGAGAAAGGTAAGGGAAGAAGGAAGGGGAAGGAGAGGAGGGAAGGAAGAAAGAGGTAAGGAGAGGATGGTGGAAGGAAGAGAAGGAGAGAGGGAGGAAGAGTAGGAGTAGGAGAAAGGTAAGGGAAGAAGGAAGGGGAAGGAGAGGAGGGAAGGAAGAAAGAGGTAAGGAGAGGATGGTGGAAGGAAGAGAAGGAGAGAGGGAGGAAGAGTAGGAGTAGGAGAAAGGTAAGGGAAGAAGGAAGGGAAAAGACAGGAGGAAGGAGGAAAGTAGAGAAGGGAGGGAGGGAGAAAAGAAAGGGAAAATAAGGTGGTGTTACAACAGGAGGAAGGGATGGTAAACAAAGCAACCCAAACCGTATATATATATTATAACCTATAAAATGGAATAATAAATGTATAAGAATGATAAATGTATAGAAGAAAAATAATTATATGAATGTATACTTAAAATGGTATGTAAGAGAATAAAAAAATAAAAATTTTCTGGGAGAAAAAATCACCTCCATCCCCGAGAAAAAAATACGGGCAGGTTAAATTTGACATTAAAGAAAAAGAAGAGAAGAGAGAGACTTGTCCGATTCATCAGGTGCTGAACTCCGAATGCTTCCTTTCAGTTTGACTACAACCCGCACCTTGCAGACTGGTCCAGGGAAACGAGGGGTGCTCCCCTCACCAGTGTAAAACCCCTGGACAACTGGCTGCTGATCTACACCCGCCGGAATTATGACGCGGCTAATATTCTGGTCCAAAATCTTTTCAAAGTCACACCCGCAATGGGCATAAGAATGAACAAGGCCATCATGTAAGTACCCTCAAGCTGCGGGTTCTTTGCCAGAAGCGGAGGTGGCGGAGCTTCTGAATTTAAAGTTGCCAATTTAAACCACGACTCAGTTTCCTCTCTGGGAATTCCCAGCTGAAGCCACCGTATTTTTCGGACTATAAGATGCACCAAGGTTCCAAAGAGGCAAGTAAGAAAAATAAGTTTTTGTCCTCCCCGGCCCCCCATTTCACCAAAATGGGGGCATTTTCCCCTTCTTCCAGTCCTGCTGAAGCCTGCAGTGTTTCTGAGGGGTGGGGGAAGGCAAAAACATCCTCGTTTTTTGCCCAATTTTCACAAAAATGGGATGAGTGGGTGGGGCTTCGGGAGGCCAAAAATGGCTGTATTCGGTGTATTAGATGCACCAACATTTCCAAGCTCTTTTAGGGGGGGGGAGTTGCATCTTATACTCCAAAAAATATGGTAGTTCTCGAAAAGGAATGCAGTGTTTTGAAGGTGAGGTTTGTAACATTGTCTAGAACAGCCAGGTAAGCAGATAACAAAGTGAAAGAGAGAGAAAGAAAGAAAAAGGTAGGTGGATGGATGGATGGTATAGGCACACACACACACAAGCACACACAAACGGTCCTCAACCTACAACCATTCCTTTAATGACCATTTGAAGTTAGTTGTATTCAAAGAACATCTTCCAACCAGTCCTTGCACTTATAACTGTTGCAGCATCCCCGCAATCACGGTCTAAATTCAGGTACTTCAAGTACTTATGGCTGCAGTGTCCCAGGGTCACCTGAGCACCATTTGAAAGCTTTGCAACCAAGGGAAGGGGGGAGCTGGATTCATTTAGTGACCACAGCAATGGTCATTAAACCACGACAACGTTGTAAAACGGGGCATGTCTCCTCACTTAAATGACCCCATCACTGAATGACAAGATGTTCTAGTGCCAATTGAGGTCAGAAGTCGAGGATTTACCTGTCTGGCATCAGTTGGCACCAAGTACAGTATTTCTACCAGTGTTTCTCAATCTGGACAACTTTTAAGGTTTGTGGACTTCAGCTCCCAGAATTCCCCTGCCAGCCCTCCCCTCTTCAAGTTATCCAGGTAGAGAAATAGCCATTTGTACAGTTAGTGGTAAAAGGAGATTTGTCTGTCTTCGTAGGGTTGAAGTCGACGACAGAACAGAGGCCTATTTGAGAACCTTGAAGCAGAAGATCACCTCCGATACTCAGATGGTATGACCAATGTGATCCCATGGACCGGAATGGCACCATGGTTTGTCTGATCCCTGATTAAATACAGGATGCAGGGAACCACGACTTTGCTCTGGCTTAAACCTTCGGGGCAAGTAGTTAACAACCCTCTGGAGCTTTGTCTCTAGGAATAAACGGGGAAGCAACCCTACCAGATCCCATTTTTCTGATCGGTTGATATCTCAAGATCAGAATTAAATATGATCTGTAAGTTTCAAAGAGTGAAGGTGATTGGGAAATGGAGTAGGGGGCAAGTCCTCTAGAAGGATTATAAACAGGAAACCCACAGAAACCAGGACTTCGTTCTTTACTTAAATGCTAATGGGCTAACGTTCTCTAACTGGACCATCTCCATGGCCTTTGGGTGTCCTTGGAAGTATGGAAATATAGGACTGCACAGGTCATTGAGAGCACCCCAGATTTACTTGGCTTTAACATCCCTGTGTATAAAGCAAAAGGCCATGCTGGCTTCTCCAGGGTAGATCTGCTAATGTAGCCTAGGATGCGATTCCCAATGTGCTATACCAGCAGTCACCAACTGGTGGTCCGTGGACCACTGCTGGTCTGTGAGAAAATTTCGGTGGTCCACAGAAAAATTATTTGCATTTTTTATATTGCACTAAATCAGGAGTCATCAAACTACGGCCCTTGGGATGGATACATGCAATGAACGCTTGTGTTGCTGCAGAGAATCTCTCCCTTCGAGGTCTTTTTGTGCAGGTCGGAGGGGGGCAGAAATTCCGACTTGGGGTCTGTTTCAGCCTCCTGGTGGGGGGCTTTGGGCAAAGGTGGAGGGAAACATCACTGGTGGTGAAGAGCCGGAGGACCTTGTTCCAGTGGGATTGCATCATGGCCTGGAACTGGCTGACTATCTCAACCCCCTGAGCCTCCAGGCGGTGGCACCTGGCCTTGCACTTGCACAGGTCTTCCCTCTGCTTGGAAAGCCTATGTTCCTAGTCCTCAGTGAGGTGCTTCTGTGAGCCGCCTCCTCGGTCAGATCCAATTTGAACTGAGCTGTTGTGCTAACTCTTTCTCATGGTGGCTGCTTAGCTCCAGCAACTGCTTCCTGTTGGAGCCCTAAGGAGCCCGGGCGGGGAGGGGAGAGGCCAGTGAGAGGTGCCCCTCGACGTGAGTGACATCAAGTTGGCCACACCCAGTCACATGACCACTTAGCCATGTTCACCCAGCCGATCATTAGGCAGATGATATTGGTGGTCTGCAGGATTTAAAATTATGAATTTAGTGGTCCCTGAGGTCCAAAAGGTTGGGGACCCCTGAGCTACAGAACAACCTCGAGGTTCTAAAACCTGGTGGATGCCCTGACTGTCTGTCCTTCTTCAAGGTGGTCTGCCTCCTGTCCAGTAACCGTAAAGACAAATACGATGCAATCAAGAGATACTTGTGTACTGATTGTCCCACACCCAGCCAGTGTGTCCTGGCCCGCACCTTGAGCAAGCCCCAAACTGTCATGGCGATAGCCACCAAAATCGCCTTACAGATGAACTGTAAAATGGGGGGAGAACTCTGGAGCGTTGAAATCCCAGTAAGTAGCTTTCTTTTTTTCTTTCTGACCTTCCAGGAGTGTTTAGCTTAGCAGCCCTCTAAAAAACCCACATGAGAGTTAAAACATAGCTTAGTTTGTTTGGGAGAAGTCTTGTGTTTTGCCCAGTTCATTGACAATCTCTGCTTAATTTATGGATCAATTAATGCCCCACCTTTATTTTTGCAAGTAACTCAAGATGGTGAATAGACTGTCCCAACTTCTATTTTCCCCACCACAACAATGCTGTGAGGTGGGTGGGGCTGAGAGAGAGGGGTGGTGGTGGCCCAAAGTCACCCAGCTGGCTTTCGTAGCTGCGGTGGGACTGGAACTCCCAGACTCCTGGTGATCGGCCCAAAGTCACCCAGCTGGCATTCATGCCCAAGGCAGGACTTTCTAACCTGGTGCCTTAACCACTAGGCCAAACCGGCTCTCTAACGACAATAATTCTCCAATATTCCAGATGAAACAACTCATGATTGTGGGAATTGACTGTTACCATGACATTTCAGCTGGACGGCGATCAGTGGCGGCATTTGTTGCGAGTTTGAATCATGGAATGACCCGGTAGGATTGTTAAGACATTTTCAAGATCTACAAATCTTTTAGGAAAACATAGACGTGTTTCACACAAGTGGCTCTGTTGCCATTCAGGGATTGTTTTGCTGTTTCACGCAGTCTTCCAAGTTACCACTTATCATTTAACGGCCATTCGGAGTTAAAACGGCCTCAGACAGGGCGCTTGGCAACCTACAAAGCCCTTCCGGCTATTGCAAACTGTCCTCCTTCCTGCCCTACTATCACATGGCCCTATTTTGGGCACTGGTTCACATTTATGACCGGTTGCAGCATCCTGTGGTCACATGACTGTGATTCACGACAGTTTTGGCTGATTTCAGGGGAACAACAGGAGGGTCTGTGACAATTCGCTGTGGGACAATATCAGGAAAATGGTGGAATAGAGTAGAATCATTAAAGAATGCAAAAGAAGGGACAGAGTGAAACATGAATGACAAATTTAAAACATTTTTTTTTTAAATTTTAAATAATTAAATTGAATTGTTAAATTGTCCCAGGGCGATTTGGCTGCGTGCAAGTTGTCCCATTCCGTGCCAAGGAGACTATGGCGTATCGGACTTATGTCTAGATGATCCTGACTTAACCACATTATTTGCTCAATAACCACTGTAAAGTCAAGTCCAGTCACATAAGTGCTTCACCTTACGGCCGCAATAGCAATAGCAGTTAGACTTATATACCGCTTCATAGGGCTTTCAGCCCTCTCTAAACGGTTTACAGAGTCAGCATATTGCCCCCACAGTCT